ATACGTCTTAAAGTTGCTGAGGTTGAGAAACCCTGCTCTAATGCAAACACCCAGACTTAATTTCCCCACTAGCAACTTACAGCATCTTCAAGAACATTTCAACCATCATTGTGCCAAAATAACAATAATCAGGATAGGCTTTATATCGTATCAACAGTGGCTGATGATGCTATGAAGATGGTATAAGTCTCCCCCACCCCTGTTAACACCCAAGAATTGAAAAACAGTAAAACTCCCCTCCTATGTATTGAGATTGTATCGTCTCTCCCTTCTGCTATCTTGCAGATTAGTGCAATAACAGTTTAGGAACTTTAGGGTGAATGTTTCTCAGCTGTTTCCTAGTAGTAGGAAACAAGCAGTAGCAGAGAGAAGGAGAGAATATCTGGGAGCTACAAGTGGACCCTGAGGTCAGGATTATATGTGACTGGTGGAACTATCCATTCACTTGCTTCTATCCTGTTTACTGTACAGAAGCATCTTGAAGCACTATTGTTTGTTTAAGATACTGATAACATGGTGTACCATCAGTAAAATCTGCAGAATGATTTATTTTCAGTCTCACTGGCAAGTTATTTGGTCTGTATATAGAATTCCTTCCCTAGAACCACAAGCAAATTTCCTTGTCCTACATCAGATGGGCATCCAAAGAGTTGGTGCTTTTGGTTGGTTTACTAAGAATACCTCAGTTGTGGGGAGCAAACTATTCCCAGAAGCTCTGTCACTTGTGTATTTGTGCACAGAACATGACCAGTGAAGAGCAAAGAATGACATTTGCATTTGGTCAGCACAATTTTGTCACTCAGTTACTTCTGCAGACAGTCTCAGAATGAGACTTTTGGAATGTATCAATGTTGACTTGTCCCCAGCCATATTTTGACTTTGTTTTCTTTTACCAAACATATGTTTTAGTGTTAAAATGTAGACTGAAAAGTAACAGAAGCTCCTACATAAACAAGAACTTACTGAATTACTAGTATGCTTGTCCTTCACCTTTGCCTAGGGATGACAGAACATACCAAGTGTCTTCTCAGAGCCTTCTTTGAACTGTCTCAGACTCACAGAGGTAAACAAATAGAACATTTCCAATTATGGCCATATCCTCTTTAAAGATAACGTAGCAGCTTGTAGGGGATATTGGAGATGCCAATGTGTGCTCCACCTTTTTTTGTTGTTGTTCATTGTAATTAAATTAAATTAAATTAAATTAAATTAAATTAAATTAAATTAAATTAAATTAAATTGGAAGCTAGCATGGTACAAAATGAAAAGCCAAGTAAACATAATCTATATTTCCAAGATTCTTCTGCATCCTGCACATGTCTGAGACGCACTTATAGAAAGTGTAAAAAAAAAAAAATGATAAGAGTCTGCAATGGTCTTTTGGAAGTACACTCAGTTACCTAGAAGAAAAACAGAAGGAAACTAAAGAAATAGAGAGTATTGTGGGGAGCAATCTCAGGTTTATGACTGGCCATACCCATCATGGCAGTCACCCTTTGGGGGAGATGGGCAGCATATCAATTTAATAATAAATTAATTAATTTTAAAAATTTGTGAGAATGGCCATAATATTCTTTCCAAATTCCAGATATGGCCACTGGTTCTCAAAATTTGGGCTAGAATGTCTGTGGGGTTGCACCCACGGCTAGTATCAGGTATATGTGAGCCATTATCTAGGGCAAACTATTAGAGAAGTATCTTCTGGCTTACTGGCTAGAATGAGATTTAAAGTGGGACAGCATAAAGTCTAAATCCACTGTTTGCATTCTGGTGTCCTCCTGACATGTCATTTTCAAGTTCTATAATCCTCATGGTATCAGTCATTGTCTGAAGTGGTGAAAAATTATTGAGTAATAATATAATATACCAGAAAATACATCTGTGATTTTGACTCCAGTTTCTATTGCATGTTTTTGCTGGATGATGACCAGCATTTGGTGATGTTTTTTCGGTTATCGGTGTACGAGAACCTCAGCCAGCAGCCAGTGAAGCATTTGTGAAGTTTGCTGATGCTCATCGCAGTATTGAGAAATTTGGAATCCATCTTTTAAAAACTATTAAACCAGTAAGAATATGTGTTTTGTCTGTTATGCTCAAAATAATAATTCTTTATATAAAAAATTACATGGAGTTTCTTACACACATACTTAGTTAAGAACTATGTTTATCATTTTAGTATGATAATCTAGGTAGCTAACACATCCATTTGAGAGTTGACAAATTTTATACCACTGTGTCTGAGGTACAGAGTTCCAGTGTAGCACTGTCAGCCCCCAAAGTAATAGATGGGAACCTTTTCCTTCTGAATGGCTGTTGACTCATGGGAAAAAATAGTTGTAGGCTGCAGATTGTGGTAGTGACAGAGTGATGACGGCCAAAAGCAAACAGTGTTTGTAGTCTTGCATAGTGTTCTAGCTCTTTGTGCTATCTTATATATATTCCCCCTCCTCTTTCTCTCTGCTTATTAACTCACACAAAATTAGATGCAGATGCTAAAGGTTTACTGTTTCTGGGGAGGTCAAAAATGGAGGGGCAAACAGGGTTTGATAAAAGGCATAAGAATGTGAGATGGTTTCATCTGACTACACTAGTTCAGTGATCTGCAACTCTTTGCTTATTAATCTGTGGGGCTTTCCACATGACTTCTTTATTGGCTTCCTCAGTCCGTTCCCAGCTAGGTCAGAATTAAGGACGAGACACTTTCACATGTCAAACTTGAGATAAGGTTCATTAGCCTGCCTTGCCTTGAGTTGTGACAGGACAGCATATGGAAATGGCAGGGTAGAAATAGTGTTGTTTTGGACTGGAACAACAGCAGCACTAGTATTCAGAGTGTCTATCAGATTGGCTCAGAAATATGACTATCATCAGGTCCATATAATGAGAAGGTTGATCTATTGTGCATCAAATGGCTTGACTCTACTCTGAGAGCTGGTAGAAATGTCCACAAATCATATACTAGTTAATTTGAGATTACTAGCCTTCTCATGTGCAAAAGCTTGTCTGCTTTATTTTGTTTTATCTTCACTTTTCACTCTCAGCATTTCCTTACAGATGTTGACTGACTTGAACACCTACCTGAACAAAGCAATTCCTGATACCAGGCTAACTATCAAGAAGTATTTGGATGTCAAGTTTGAGTATTTGGTGAGCTGTTCTTTTTGTTTTAATTATTCCTTTTAGAAAAGCACGGGGCTTAAAATACATATTCCTTGCAAAAGAATTTCAGTCTTTCTTTACTCCATGCTTCGCCTGAATTTGAACAGATCAAACATCAAACTTTTCTGCTTTCTTTTTTAATTTTATGTGTATATAACATGTCTAACAATTCAGGATAACACTACTGCATTTAATGGGATGGACTACAGTCATTTTATTTTTGTTTTTGTTATAGCTGGCTGGTTAGCTATCATTCTATAACTGGTAACACGGTGCACTGTTTGTTCCCTTTCAGTCATACTGTCTTAAGGTGAAAGAGATGGATGATGAAGAATACAGCTGCATTGTAAGTACAGAAGTTCTCATATGCAGTCAGATTTCCACTGAGATCCCAGATTTGTTTATAGACACACTCAGATGGTTGCCTGTTTTCAAAGATTTCAATTCAGGGAAGTCTCCTGTGTCCATTCTCATCAAAGTGTTCAGTGTTGGATCTTGCATTGTGTTGCCAAGTCTTACTAAATGAACCTTCTTGATGTCTCTTTTCCCTGACTCTTAAAGGTGCTTAAGAATTAAGATTATAACTTATTTCAAATTGAGATTGGTAATTAATTGTTTGATGTCAGCCATCATTTCCATCTGGCACCCCCTGCAGGGTAGCCTTCCCATCTTGATGCCTTCTAAAAGTGTTGGGTCTGGCTGGAATTTTGAGTGCAGTAACATGAGATTGACTCATTTGCATCCCACAAGCATAGATTGTATAAGCATTAATGAGTCCAACTGAAGAGGTCAAACATTTGATTGCCACTGTGTAGAAGCTGGGTAGGTAATATACCTAGTGGACTCAAAACAGAGATGTATTTTGTGGCTTTTTGTTTCCCCTAATGATGACTATATCCTCCAGCACATCATCCTTTCTCAGGCATAGATGGAAAGGCCAAATCATTTGGTGAGCATCTGGTGTGCCATTATTTTTGTCTGAGCAAAAGAAAAGCTTTCTTGAGGAATTTTGAGGATCAAGCCCATAGTGGACTTTTCTTCTTTCTTGAAAAAGTGTATGACAAGAATTTGAACAAAATTATAGCTAATGCAAATTACAAAGATTAAAGTTTCAAGTTTCAAGATTAAGATTCAAGATTAACATTTCAAGCAAATAGCTCCAGGGAGTGCTGTACATATTCTGTCAATACTGATTTTTACTAAAGCTTCTAAAATTATGGAATAGATTCACAATTAATTTGGTATGGAAAAACTGACTGTCATCCTGATTTGTTCCTTGACCTCATTTACCATGTGATGACCTTGTGATGAGTATCGTCTGAAGTGTTGGTTTGCTTACCCTCAGGGTCCTAAGCATCTGCTCCTTCTTTAGCAAAAGTTGCCTCAGAAGCTATCTTTAATGTCTGGCTGTTGGCCAAGTAAAGATGCAGTATCATCATGTGAGGAGCTCAGAGTTTGCTGGGATACATGAAAGAAGCTTTAGTTGAAATATATATTCCACAATCTACCCCATTGGTTGCTATAGTAACACAGTATTTTTGGTAGGCCATGGGAGAACCTCTCTACCGGGTTGGAACTGGGAACTATGAATATCGTTTAATCCTGCGCTGCCGCCAGGAGGCACGTTCACGTTTTGCCAAAATGAGGAAGGATGTGCTGGAAAAGATGGAGCTGCTAGATCAGAAACATGGTAAGTGTAGTTGCCTTTTCTTTAGATCCAAAGCCTTGTTTCCAAATGACCTCCAAAAAAGTTGAGTGACCTACATCTGTAGATGAAAACTATCAAGAAAAAGAATCAAGCTCCATAGAAACAAGAGTACTGGATGAAAAGAGAACTTTTTTGACTAAACTATCAGCTTAGCCATTTGTAAAGTACTTGAATGTTGTCTTGCATAGGAAGACAAACACACCTTAGGCTATAGGCTGTGGGTATCCAGATATCTTTGTGAAACACGTGAGGGTATGGGAAAAGAGGGATACCGGGGAGAGTCTGTGTCTGATGAAAAATGCTTTTGTACTGCAGTATATTCTCTGAGATGAAGCTAAAAGAATAAGATTGTATGCAGTGTGTGTGGGGGTGGAGGGTTTAAAAACTTTTACAGAGTATCTTAGGATTTATCCAGACAGTTGCTTTAACATGCTATCCTCCAGTCTGATGTGGCACAAAAATATGCTGGAATAATTTGCTCTGTCCCAACAGCTGAGGTCTAATCTGTCTCAATAACACGGTCAGCAAGTGGTGTCATCCTTACAGTTTTAATGTGAAACAAATTAAGGAAAGTGTTTGGTGGATTTCCTGCTACTGGGAAACACATCCACCAATAGCTTTCCATAATATGGGGTGATGTTAGAATAGGGGGTTGCTACTTTTGTTTCTGCTGTACTGTGTGAGCTGCATGTCATTTGGGGAACTTTTTTTTAGATACCTATAGCAGTCTCACTTTATGAAGTACCATTCAGGCATTATACAGTCAGTAGGAGTCTGGGCAGATTACAGACCCTGCTCCATCATCATCATGGTTGCCACTGAAATACTAAATATTGTGCATGAAGTAAGACTTTTGTGGGGAAGAAATGGAAAACACCACTTTGATCTTGGATCAGATAAATATGCAGTTAGCAGCCTAGGCTGTTGGCTGGGGGTGAGATGAAGGCTGCTTTATGAAAACCTTAGTGAATGGTTAGCAAGGCATCTTTGAGATGTCAGTAGGGGAATCCTTCTTAGAGTTTAAGTAGAGTAAGTCTTTAGAGTTTAAAAAGAATTGAAGAGTGAAAAGGTAGAATGCTTGAACTGAAGGATGCGTGGGAGGAGAACATCCATAATATAGCCTATATTTAATTATACCTAACAAGACTAAATTAAAAGAATGAGATAATATAGTCTTGAAGCTTTTTTCTGTCATGACTTCTTCACCTGAGGTCTCTCCTATTTGATTCTATTCTAATCTAAAATTACTTTTTAAGATTGCCTGGCTGAACTCAGGCATTCTGGATTTCTCATAATACAGTCCTGTATGGATTAATAGGCAATAGTTTTCCATGAGTGTATTTCCAAAAATGTGTATTTTTGTTCCTCTTCATTCATTGACTTCCCTCCCTTGCAGTGCAAGACATTGTGTTCCAGCTCCAGCGTTTTGTGTCCACACTTTCCAAGTACTATGATGATTGTTATGCTGTGCTGAGGGATGCAGATGTTTTCCCAATTGAAGTGGACCTAGCACGTACTACATTGAGTTATGGCCAAAAGGATGTCTTCACAGATGGGGCAGAGGATGAGGAGGAAGAGGAAAGTGGTGGAAGTAGAGAATGCAATAAAAAAGAGGAGGAAAATGGAGAGAAACTCATTGATGATGCCTGAACATCTGAATTTAGCAAGGTGCAAAATCCCTGCAGAGACTGATAAATTCTATTTCTCTAGACAGCTTGTCCACAGTGACTCTTCTGTTTGTACAAGCCCAAGGGAATCAAGATTCTGTATTGAATAGGGGCATTTGGGTATGATGTATGCAAAATCATGCAAAAAATATTCCGTCCTTGTCCCTTTGAATGTGCTTTTCTCAAAATCTCACTGACCTCATCAAGAGCTGGTGGGATTGAAATGACTACTTGAAAGTAGCCTTCAATCATCACCCCAACATGGCTTCCTGTGCAGATGGACTATGATTAAATGTACAGCTCTTTCTCTCTCTCTCTCTCTCTCTCTCTCTCCTTCAGTAGCCTAGTATCCTTATGTAAAAATGGCTGAATATTTGATTTCTTAGGGTTTTCTTTTTCTATCACTTTTCTGTCATTTTTAATCTTGAATGATATTGCTGCTAGCAGGTGAATATAACATTAAGGGTGTTGACTGCTCTGCATTGCCGTGGCCCTTATTAAACAAAAGGAGAAGCAAGGTAAACTGGGTGAAATCAGAAAGGTCAGCCTTAGAATGATAATTTAAAGAGAATTGGCCAAGATAATCTGTCTGAATGACAGAGTTATCCTTAGTAACATCAAGTCAGGATGAAGACCAGTGGGTGCTAGAAATAAAAGCAAGGACATTTTAATCATAGCATCAAGTTCCATATGGAACTATCATTCTCTTTGTATTCTCAGCCCCACTGGTCTTCATATGCAATGAGTCATGATTGGCTGTAACCAAATACACTCTTTGAGGACCACTCAGCCAGCCTTATATGCTCTCTTGCATAGGTGCTGTGTTGCATGAACTTTTCTAAAACCAAGCCTTATCCAATAATTAACAAGTTGTGAAATTTGAGACTTTGTACCAGGAAGGAGGAAATGGTAGCTTAAAAGGGAGGCATAAGATTATTGAGGTTAACAATAAGACAACCATTTTAAGCATTAAGTTCTTAATTCATACAATGCACTTTCATTACACCTACACATTTTTCCCCTTTTGAATGCTGCTTTTGTGGACAGAGGGACTATTATGAGCATCCCCCTGGTGCCCCTGCTCCTTCTCATTCAAGTCACCAATTCAGCAGCCATTGAAATGTGAATGATAAATAAACTGTCAAAGGAAGTGGGGGGAATCACTAATATTCTTTCTCTCTTTTATATTTTATTGAATAAGTACAATATTCAGACATGATCTAAACACACTCAAAATTACAAAAATAAGCCAGAAATAAAATCAAAAAGAAGAAAAATTGTCCAAAATAACATTTATGCCAATGGGGACAATCTATCAGAAATAACATTAATATGACATATTACATAATGGCTAATCAATGGTGTGCAAATTTGACACTGCCACTAATATTCTGTGAAGAAATCTCCCCATCCTATATCTCAGTCTCCACAGGCTCCTGCCCTCCAGATGCAAATCCCATCACCCACAACTAGTATAACACAAAGTTAAAGCTGCTCAAAATCTCATTGAGTTTTTAAACAAAATAGTCTGATTATAAAGCATTGCCTTTGAGGAAAAAGGGCTTTTGTTCCTCCTTAAATTGGTGTAGTTTGTGCCAACTGGTAAGAAAAACTACATGAGAGCATTACGAGAAGCATGTTTCCCTGTGGCTTTTGTTTTTGCTTCCTGTTGTCTCTTTCTCTGTGAATGACCAAAAGAAAGCCAAGCTAGGGTCAGGATGATCTTAGTGGGATTTTATGTGTCAAATGGAATGACTAATAAAAATATGAACTTTCTGCTCTTTTTCCTTCTGACTTAAGCATTAGGTTTGTGTCTCCTTAATCTTTCGGCTTACACCATAAGTAAAAAGTATGAATGGCAGAAGACTCAAATTGCTTCCAGATTGCAGGAGTCATTTGGCTCCAAAAAGGAAATGCTCCAAAACTGAAAACCAAAACCACAAAACTGACAAACCCAGGTGGACTTTCCCTTATCATCCTGATCAGCAACTTTTCTAGAGCTTTCTAGAGCTACTGCAGTAGAGTTCCCAGAACCCCTCAATTGTGCTAGGAATGAGAAAATAAGAGTTGTATCCGATAGGCACTGTCGTTGGATGTGTCAATATTGGAAAGGCTTTAGATAGCTATGGTGGCATATCCTGGGCCTGCCTGATCAAAAAGCAGCTGCAACAACTTTCCCAAGTGAATTTCTCTCCTTGGTCCACATCCAACATGGTGTTTGTAGGTTCAGTGCAGTTCTACGTCTGCAAAATAGGCTGCCTGCTTTCTGTGCAGAATTGTTACAGAAAAGACTGGCCATCAGAGTGGAAATATAAAGTTTCCATGCCCATTGCCTTGCTTGAATGTGAAAGTTGCTTTCTGGAGTTCTGTCATTATCAAATGTGTGCAGCCTACTGTACTCCTAATCTGTTGGGCTACAACTCCTATCCTCCTCCAGCCAGCACTGGCATTGCTATAATCTGAAGGACAGCAAATTGGAGAAGGATAATATTGACTGTTCAGAATATATGGAAATACTTACAGTTGAATTTAGATTAATGTTATGGGTAGTCATAAGCTCACATGGTAACTCCTTGGTCACGTAACTATTTCTGCTTGAGCAGAACAATGTTACTGGGCTTCAAAATATTCAGTGCTATGCTACCCCTATCTCTTCATTTCCTTCCTGCATGTTTCCTTCCTTCCTTCCTGCATTCCCCCTCAGGGAAATGTTAAAGGGATTAGGAAGGAAATGAAGAGATATGAGGGGGGGGGTGTCTGGGAGGGGTGGAGGAAACATCTACCAACCAACCTGTCTCCCCCCTTCCCCCCCCCCCACCTTGTCTGAATTGAAATCCTACAGTCAGGTCCAGAAATATTGGGACATCGACACAATCCTAACATCTTTG